GAGCAGAACAAAGAACTTTCAGGGGGAAAAAAAAGTGGCACCCTCATTAAGAAACAGAGTGTACAGAGAAGGCAAAACACGCATATTTTAGAGCTAAAAAAGACAAAAGCACAGAAATAAAGGGATGAGAATAAATACAGAATAACAGAAGATATGAATGAAAGGAGTCCTTAAATTAATCTCTCTGCAACTCCAAAGAGACACTAATTTCTGGAAAATAACACACAGTGCCAAAACATCTCCCATGTGTGAGTTAAGAATAGTCTGAATAGTTTACTCATCAGATAAGAAAAGATTAGACACTTCTGTCTATCAGAAGTAGGGAGCAAGCTCAGTATTTTTGGAAAACAAGAAAGGATAAAGGCCATAAAATTATCATTTTGAGACTTGTATAAGCAGAACTCAGATGAAAGTGCAGCGGAACACTTTCAGATCATTTAAGGATTCTGTCAGGGAAGTGGCTTGTAAGACAAAAATATATATGGGAAGACACCCAGGGATGGATCAGAAAGTAACCATTAGAACTGAAAAGGGACTTGAGTATTACTAAGTCCTGAATTGTAAATAGACTAAAGGAGTATTTCCTGCTACAGCTGGTGACACACAAGATTATTAAAAAAATCTTATGTAAGATGAACCAGATGGAATTGCAGTCTAAAAATAAAGCAAAAATTAGTATAGGCTGGTGAACTACACTGGAATAAGTCAGTCAATAAACTATGTCTACCAACAGGTGAGGCTTGAATACCTCTCAAAAGAAAAAAGGTGTTTAAAAGACATAAAGTCTTCTATAAGAAATTGTTTTGCAGGGTAAAACTAAAAGGTATCTAAGAATAATGAAGGCACAACTGCCTCACACACCTGCTATTGAAATCAAAGATAAAATAAAAATAAATATATGAAGACAAATATGATGGAGAAACTCATTAAGCAAAAAAAATGGTAAACAAAACTTCAGAACCTTGTACAGGTATGAGAATTTAATGTGGATTTTCAGATGGAAATAACAAAGATTAAGAAGATAGAAACTGCAATGATTTGCTGGTGAGATGGTAATAAGAGATACATTTTATTAGCCAAGTTTACGGTACTGGGTAAACAATAAAGAAGATTCAAGGAAGAACAGCATTTCACAAAGGTCTTTTCAGTCCTATAATTAAAACTTAAGCAGACAGGCTCCAAAAAACATTCTAAGAAAATCCTGAAAGTGAGAGGTAAATTGGATCTCATTCAAACAAGTAGAAAAGAAAAAATGTCAAGATATATAAGGCACAAATTTTACAAAAGAATGACAGGGCAGGCAGATCCCTAGTTAGAAAGCTGCAGGAAATATGGAGAGAACAGCAACCGCAGTCACTGGGGACAGTAGGTAACTAGTTCAGAGAAGAGAGGAGATGCTTCTGGAGAATGTTATAAGGGATGCCATCACCCAGACTACTGATAAAGAGTTATAGTCTCTAGATAAATCCAAAGAGCAAAATTTAATTAGAAAACAAAACCATACTCCCTGGCCTTCAGGAAAGAAGGTAAAAAATTCCTGAGGAAGAAGATTAAATGTAGGAACCTCATATGTTTATTAACTGTTAGAGCATAAACACAAACACCATCCCGAGACTCTAAGAGGAATTTTAATTCCCATATTATTGGACTTGTGATCGAGAGGAGAGTTGTATTGCCAAACAAGAAGAGAGATTTCATAAACTCTCTAAATATAACTCTCATAATATTCATCCATACTTTTACCAAATGTCTTTTTTGTTGATACACTGGGGATTGATAGTTAGCAATGTGATTAATTAACATTTATCGCGGCAAAAATTTATTGCAAGAAAACACATTTCAGATAATATTTTATAAAATCAACAGTCACAAAAGTGTTATCTTAATCCAGAAAAGCCCACTTACAAAAGTCAGGAATACAAGTGTCCTGTGTTAGCAGTATCTGGCCTTAAAAATAAGTTGAGGATCTGTATTTCTGCTTTATTTAAAACACCTTCTATATGAGTGAACAGATTTACATTAAAAAAGAGGTAGGAAGAAGGGTAACCACCACCATGCCTACAGTTGGTTCCAGACACAGGACAGGGATTATCCAGAGACAAAGGAGAGAAGGGGCAGATCAGAGCTGTACCATAGGTAGCTCACTTGCATATTCTATCCTACTTTTGTGCAAAATTTGTCTCCTCCTTAAAAGCAACATTATTTCAATCATGTAGATTTGCTGCTTCTATCTCTGGGTATCAAAAGAATAATGATAAACTTGAAGTATTAGATGACCACCTCTCTCTGTGATAATTAAGCATTAGAAATTTAAATGTGCTAAAATTCAATGAGATACTTAAAGAAAAGACACAAGGATCTTTTTAAAGCTAATTGTGTTAAAGTTCAGCCTGAATTAACACAAGCCTCACAACTGAGTAGAGATGTAGGTTCCTTGGACAGAATAGTTAACATCAAAAATAGAGCAGTCTCTTCACTTAGGTGCCTATACATTGGCTTACCTATATACACAGAAATACAGACGTCTGAATGACACAACTCTACACATTTACCAAGTGTTCCCTGCCGGCTTCGTCTAGACGTAAGAGTCTCAGAATACAGGAATATTACAAAGGACTTCAAAGACTGGAAGACCTTCTGCCTCCAAATACTCATCATCCATGTTAAAGGTAGGGCCTTCCTCATTAAGGTGTGAAAAATATTTAACTTCACTTGGATCAAGACAGGGATTTCTTCGTTAGGTCACCTCTTGGGGGAGAAAGATACAAAAGCTTACCAATTTATTTCTGAAAGTAATACCTGAGTGAAAGTTTTCCATTTCTAGTATCTTCAAATTGGAAATTCATTATAAAAATATAGAAAGATTTCAGCAGACTTAACCTTCTGTGTACCTGATATAAAGGGACTCAAGAAAAGAGGGGCTACCTTTCTAAATATATACATTTTAATAAAAGAAGAAATAGATGGGAAGTCTAAGAAAATGAAAAATTGGAGAGATATCCTTGGAGGATAAAAGAGCTTTGAGCACTATGTATAAATACATCACAGATGGTACCTGTCTCCAACCAAGATTCAACATATTTTATCCAAGAATGCTGCTGGAGAGACCACGGGACAAAATCTTCTTTCACATGTTATTGGGCTTACGTCCAAATTCTCATTGGAAGTAACCAGAAGAATAACAATTGTGATGGATGGTAATATCCTATTAGACTCGCTTGTTTGATTCCTGAATGATCCCTTTAAAGACACTCAAGAGGTGAAGAAAGAAAAATTACTGCACTTCTGATAGTAGCAATTAGACCCTAGATTTGCTTATACATAGAAGGATTAACTTCCTCATCTTCTCTCCAACACTGAATAAATGGTACAATAAAATACGAGATGCCCTAATGATGAATGAAAGTATTCTGTCAGTTCAGATTGCCAGAAGAGTCCAGAAAATATGTCATTCCTTATTTATTCATAGAACAAAAATCGATCAGCTAGTAAATGAGACACACTGAATATTACCGGATAGGGAGGGATAATAGGGAAGGCTTTCCCTCTTTCTATTTGCATGCTACTATCTTGATAGCAGATGGGGTTCTCACTTTCTAAGGACTGCAAATCTGCACTACTGCCCTGAAAGAACAACAATAATTTATACCTTGTACAATTGTTATGCATGTTTGCTTTTTGGCTATAGGATTTTTTTTTAAAGAAAGGGTTATTGTAGAAGAGTAAGAACTGCAAAAATAAGGAAGCAGTGTGCCAGTGTTTCCTTTTTGTTGAGGGGAGCTCTTCTGATTTTTACGTTAAACTGAACTTTGAACAAGGGAAAAACCTGTAGGTGATCACACAGCAGATATATAGCACCTATTCTGTCACAAATTATACTGGTGTAAGGGTTTCAGATGCACTCCTCTAATCTTCTGGAGTAATTCACAATACTGATAAAGACTAAAGTGTAAATGGAGTCAGTTAAAGCTTGCTGCTCACCAACCCACCATACAGTGTCTGCACGGACCACAGAAGCGGTCAGAAGGATGAAAACAGTCAAGAAACATTATAGGCCTCTCATCAACAGCACTTTCCTTACTTTGAAAGCCATCTGCATCACACACTTGTGCAAAACAAGAGAGAGGGGTTGTGCTGGGAGAGCAAGGTAGTGCCAGATGTTTGGGAGCTGTGAGGCAGTAACTATGCATGGACTGAGCAGAGATTAAAACAGGTCTGGTTTTCTATAACATCCATCTGTGTGGGATGCCAGGACACACTGGGCATCCAGGAAACATTTGCTTTGCCTTTGTAAGTAAATAAATCTAAGATACAATATTGTGTTCTTATTATCTTACATCTCTGCTCAAAAACATTCTGCAGGAGCACTACATAGAGTAAATAAAACATCCTAAGATGAATTATTCATCATGCATCTGTATCTACTCATTATTCTTCTAAAAGAAACATAACTCACTTCCAGAGTCCAAAAACCGTTTGTCTGCTCAGAAGTTGTGACAATATTATTTTTGCTTTCCCCTTCAAATCACAAGAAAGATTATGTATCAATCTGAAGCAGAGGCTAAAGCCATATCTGGAATGGAGTGTGACATCTTTTTTATATACTCTAAATCAGGACTAAAACCTCAGATAAATGTATTCAGCTAACAAGGGGCTGGGATACCTGATATATAAGAGAGGAAGAAAACTCAACTCCAAGCAAAATTTATCTCCTTCATCCTTTGAAACCTTCCCATACAAATAAACTACAGAACTGGTAGCAATTCACCCTGGAAGGCTGTGGCTCCTGGCAGTTCCTCAGGACCCTGAGGACCATGCCCTTGTGCTGTCTCTGATGCCGAGTAGCACCTCCCTGTGTGTTGGACACAACACATAGCACGGACACAACAACGGCATCAGCTAGCCAAAGCCTACTAATGATTGCATGTTACCTATCTCTTTTTTTTCCCCCAATTCTCTTCCTCAGACCTACGTGGGTCAGAATGACCTGACGTACATACCTTCCTTCACACGGTGCATCCCAAGTTCCACGGTGATTTGGACGCAGAAGACCTCCCGGGTTTGTATGCCACCGCCACACAGGCCTGTGTGCTTGTGATAGCGAGGGTCCTGCTGGTCAAGGAGGAGAGACACTTGGCAAGCTTTCCATTCAGACGCCCTCCAGGCAAACCTTTGGAAATAAAAGGGAGCAGGTAAAACAAGCTTTTGAAAAGACTGAAGGTGGTACTTTATTAGATGACAAAATACAGTTGGTTTAATCTTTACAGCAGCATTTCCCAGTTCAAAACAGGGAATGTTTTAAAACATTTTCAATGTTAAATTTACAAAGGTTAAGTATTTGTTATTTGTCTGGAATACCTGTGTAAAATTTCTCACATAGCACTAATCTCCAAAGCGTTCTGAAACACTACATCACCTTGACAAACCCTTTGAGCAGGGTGCAAAGAAGGAATGAAGATTAAGAGGTTCGATTAAGTGCAAAAACTAGTTTTCAAACATGTGGCTGCAACCACTAAACCACCTCTCTGCCAAGAGCTGAACACCTCACTCTGAAATGCACTTAACAGCTAAAACCTCCCATACGTCAATGGAGCTCCAGGCCCTGGGCAGCTTTTCTACGGGTGACAGCTTTATAAACGCCCAGGGTACTACTGTTTTCTTCAAGGGATTGGCTAAAGTAACTCAGTTCTCTCATTTCCATTTCCAGAAGTTGTGGTAGCCAGCAAGCGCTAGATGAAAATACTTCCATTCTATATTCAGTTCACACCTAAAGAGCATTAATGGTTTTCAAGGAAGGATAACGTTCTTGGGCACAGATATGTGAATGCTGCACAATTGTCACTGGTATTTACAAGCTTAAATGCCAGGAAGAATTTATTCAAACTATAGGGACAATAGTATTGTGTATCAGGGAAAAGCAAAAGTTAGTTCCCTATCATGTCTGAAAACAGAGCATATTTCTAATACCACAGTTTTCACAGGCATAATTCATTTTGAGTCACAGGTCACAGTATCAGTGGAGTCAATAAGAGCCCAAAGTTTTTCTTCGCTTCCCGAACGCAGATTTTAGGCAATATTGTTTTTATAACCAATCTGTTCAAGCTTCTGCTGCTTTATTCCTCTGCTCCTCTAAATTCCATAGTTTATTTTTTCCATACAATCTTTGGGTTTTGTGTAATGTAAACTATGCAAAATAATTTCCTTTTTTTATCCTCAGGACAAATGCTCTCTCCCCTTACAGCAGACGCATGGTTGTTAAAACCACGCTTGTTAACTGCTGGCTGATCGCTGTAAACTCAAGCACAATGGGACATCTCTGCAGAAAAAGCCTTCCACACTGGAATTCTGTGGATTCTCCATAGCAGGTATCTGTTCCTGGCTACAGCTATGGCAAGGAAACATGCATCTCAAAATTAGATGAAAAAATAAATACATTAGCTTGCCTGAGCACACATCAATGTTCTCTTAACTTCTTATGTTGTAAATACGGTCATAAGAATGATTTCTAGTCACAAGGCACTTAGGAATTTTGTAACATACTCATGGAAAATGTTTGTGAATACTGCCAATTACTTTTAATTTACAGGTACTTTACAGATGAGCTGTCATGCTCTCTTAAATAATATACAGTATCATGTGCAAATTTTCATACACTCACAGGGTTTATTACTGACACAGAAAATGATAAAGAACACACTTTTCACATGACAAGCATGAAATACTTGCACTCCCTCAACATATAAAGCACAGCCATGAATTTTTTTCTTCTAGTAGTTCTTTCTGGGAATTCCTAATCACATTTCTTGGGCCTGCAGTGTTAAATTCAACCTTCCTGTTATCGTAAAGGCAATGAAAAGTGCTCTTCAGACACCGGGTGAAGAGGATTTCTCCTCCACACCACTTCAGGACATTGTGCTCGTCAGGTCTACACTTTCAAAACTAGAAGCTTCAATATAGAACACACACATCTGTCCACAGCCATAGAAATAGTTGTTTTAGGGAAGTGTTTCTAAAAACAATAATTGACGAGATAAAAACTGATAATGAATATCCGGCTTAGGTAGTCAGCCGTGAACTCTGGATCCTGAAGACTCATTTCCAGAGGTGTGAGCACCTGCTTCTCCTATTCAGTGTGAGCTGTGGGAGTTAACACCTAGGAAAATTAGGCCATCGGTGACTAAAATTATGCAAAATAACGAAATCTGAGCTCAGAGATAATTAAACTTCATCAGCTCCTGAATCTAAAACAAAAAAAAAAAAAAAACCCTTTAGATATTTTCACAGAGTAGCTGGATACCGTGCTACGCCGCAGAGCAGTCTTTAATGAACAGCTATGGGGTGCTCCAGACAGTGCCGGCTCTTCCGAGAGCAGCTCAAAGCCTCAGCCCCATCAGCCCATCTTCCTTCTTCCCACCTGGACATGCCCTCAGCTGTCCCAAGTTTTCATAGACTCACGTAATGGACCTTAAAGATCATCGAGTTCCAGCCCCCCTGCCTTGGACACCTCCCACTAGACCAGGCTCTCAAAGCCTCAAATCCTGACCCCAAGCATTAGTTGTTTCAAGGGCACACATTTTCATGGCCATTAACAAGCCCAATACACCATAAACATATCCAAGGGATTGCCATACCCGAGTGGGAAACCTAACCCAAGGCCTGTCCAGACAGCAGTAGTGACTTTGGACAGCTTTGTGGCAGACCCTTTGCAGGGATTTAAGCAGTGTGGCTGATATTTTGTATTAGTTTGGCCACCTACGGACTACACTAAAGACAATGAGAATTAACATTACTTAACGAGGAGGAACTGACTGCATAATCTCTATTTAAATTTAACCAGAAGCTTGTTAATAGCCGTTAGTAAAGAACAGAGACTAATGGCTGGCAAATACCTGGGGGGTTTTGTATCTTTGTCAGCCTCAAGCCAATACTTGCAAATTATTGGCAATATCCACAATGCGTTTAGCACAGGGCGATAATTTCTCCAATTGAATGAAGATGACCAAAGCCACCACTGCCACTATGGACATTCTGTTGTTAGAGAAGATGGCACCAGAGATGCACTGTACCAGCATTAAGTTATGGGGCCATTACCATCCAGCCATCCCATCCACCTTCCCTAGAGGGTGAAGAGCACGATAACTCAGGAAGTGAAAGGGACGTTACACATTTGGATATCAAAGTTGGACAGTTTCAGTGTACTCTTGTGATCCCTATGCCAAAACCTGTCAGTCATGACCATTTCAAACATCAATGGATTTAACATCTCATTTTAACTCCCACCAATACCTAGGTAGATTGGTGCAAGCTCAGTAAAGTTACAGTCCTAGCTGTGACCCATATTTACGTACAGACCCCTTACTACAGCTGAAAAAAAAAAAAATCTCAGCCTTTGGCTTCCCAATAGGCTTGTTCCACTTTTTAACAACACTGTTTGAGTTACAGGAGGTCTAGCTACTTCCCAAGATTGATAGACCCCATTGCCAATGGTCAGAGGACTAGCTACTTAACGTCACAAATGAGGACCTCCAGAATCCACAGACAGTCGTATCAGTCTTCTTAAGAAAATAGGCAGGAAAAAACTGCTAGTTTAGAAACAATAAGGTGTGTGCTTGAGGTATCTAGGAGGGAACTAGGCTGATAAAGCTGAACAGCTTTTCACACCGTAAGCAGCGCTCTGAACTTCCCTGCTAAACAGTTGAGGAAGCAGATGAGCAGGTCCTCCAGGTTTCTGTTAGGATCAAGGCAAAGCTCTGGCACTGTGGCACCCAGCCGCAGGAGAAGTGTCCAGCACGGAGCTGGAGAACCAAAGCTTCACCACGGATGGTTCCTGATCCAAGGGGAGGTAACAAAGCTGCCCAGCTGAATGAGGCCATTGCTGCCTGCCCAAAACTGGTGAAGGTCAAAGGGGTGAAGAGCAGTGTTGCTGCCACTCCCAACGCATGACTCCAGCAGCCTACCAGCATGGTTTGCTGGGTTTCCTTTCAGGTCTTTCCTACTTCAGACTAATGCCTAATCTTTAATTGGGGCACATGATGGGCTTCATTTACAAAGCGATACCATCACACCTGTAACTCAGCAGTAACCTCAAGCCTTTTGAAAAAAATTAGGTCTTAAAATGTTCCCATTTTCCATCATTTAACTTCTGAAGAGCTTTGAATTTCCAACAAAGCAAAGAGGTTTTTTTTTCCTAAATCCCTGTCTTGTAACATAGCAACCACAACCAAAATGAAAGATTTAAAGACACAATCATAATTATGGAAAATCTGTCTATTCTCAGTGAACATGAAAGCTACACATGAAGGATAAAAATGATATAATACATTGTTTTAAAACTGATGACTCAGTGACAGTTATGCAACAAACAAGTGCTCAATATCTTTCCGATTTATAGTTACCTCTTGGTCTCTTTAGTCTACAGGACTTATGTTCTTAGCACTTACACAAGTTTTATACCTGTATATACTCACTCACTTTAATTGAACTATCCCAAATTTATATCACAATAAAAGAAAGTAGAATCACCTCCAATGTATTTAAGTTTTTTAAGCACTTAATCTAATCCCTTCAGAACAAATAACCAAAAGTTTGACAAAGCACAAAGCTCTCGAGTCCTACATGAAATTAAAGTGTTTTATTTTCTTGCATTTAAACTATTGATTGAAGAAGTTATTGTAAACTTCGGCCATAAAATTAAAAGGCCTTCCCATTTAAGAAGAAATTTACACTACTCGCCGTGTCCCTACAACGGGACCTTTAACTTATAGCCTTGCCAATGGGCATAGAAGCAATTTAACAGAGCAGTTTTAAAGCTGAAGGTATTTTTTTTCCCCCTGGATCCTTTTAAGAGGCTGGACTATAATTTCACCCATCTCCCCCTGCTGAGTACAACTCTGCAAGCACTACCTCTTGAGCTGCTGCTTTCTGCGCTGGTGGATGTAGTCTGCAATATACACCTTCAAGCAGCCACAGGGTGCTCTCATTAAAAAACAGCCTCTAGAGAATCCCCTTCCTTCTTCCGCTCAGAGACTTGCTCTCTCTTTCTGGTCTACATCCTCATCTGTTTTCTTTTCTGTGCCTGGAGCATGCTTTTGAAAATTCTTGCCCAAAGAACAAAGCTAAAGGAAAGGCTTCTTATCTTAATATCAACCGAAAACCAGGAAAGAGCAGATTCTCATGAACTGGAAAAGTAAATAGGATTCCCACCTTAAACAATTTTAAGACTAATTAGGCAAACACAGGCCAGAAAGAAAGCACGAATGGTTTGTGTTGAGCCCAAACAAATGAAGGAGAGAGCCTTTTACTTCTGCTACTAAATCTCCTTAAATTCATCATCTTCTTGAAAGGGGAAGAAAGAAAAGATAACTGCTTGGCAAGCCTCAGCAAAGCCACAGATGAGGTGGCATACATTTAAAGGGGAAAAAAAGCATAATCTTTCTAGGTATTACACTGTGGAGAGACTATGCTCAAATAAGAAGAACAGAAGCATCAAGGACCTCTTATATGACTTCATAGGGATTAACACTGCATCCCTTCAACAGCTGAAAGCTCTTGCTTTCCAGTCTGAAGTACTTCCAGTACCTCAGTCACCAGTTGCCAAAGACCAACACCAAATCACCAGGCTGTGAACTGTAACATGGACCAATGACATCCTTCACCAGCTGCTGACACATAAATAACAGACTTAAAATGTTTGACTTCTGTCAATTGATACAAAATTCTGGCCCCCACAGCCTTACGCCTGGCAGACCCGCAGCACACACTGCAACGTTACAGCCTTTCGTTCCTGCTGGTTTCTGCAGTATTAAACAGCCACGCCAAAGCTGGGGGTTTTTTCAACATTTTTTTGTTAAGTGTCTCTACTCAGATGTAAGTCTAATGTTATTTTCTATGCTAGCTCATTAAGCAGTTTATCCTTGCTCAGATACTTCACCGGAGATCTTGCCTGAAGGGCTGAAGGTGAGCAGGTATAGCAGGATAGGGAACGTTTAGGAGCTCACAGTCTCATGAAAATCTAGGTAGCAGCAATTTACCGAAAGAACAGGTTTGCTTCTATAGTAAGACCAGCACCTCCAGAAAATTATCAGTGTTACACAGGTTCTCACCTTCTGGGCTCTCCTGGCTCTACACCAAGTCCCTACAATCATTTGCACTTTAATATGATGAAATGTCAAAAAGTGGAAGTGAGAAACTAGGTACAGACACATGTCTGTTCACTCTCTGATTAACTGCCAGCTGGTCTGCCCCAGTCAGGTGTCACCCGCACCCACGCTCCTATACAAAATCAGCGAGACAATGTGTTAATCTATTGTCTTTGAAATTGATGTGAGTATGGGCAGGAGCAAAAATCACTCTGTAAGAGCCTTTTCGTAGCATGTAATCAAGTAACAGAATATTTCTTTTTTTATACTTCCTCTCTTCTGCTAGCAGGGTGTATAAAAATGATCAGCATTTGATTTTGAATGAACCCAATGATATAGAGACACTTTCACAGGCTATGCCTTCCTAAGAATCATGCAAAGGCTTTATCAAAGGTTTTGGCAGTATCTGGCAAAGCCCCAGAAACTCATGACTTGAGCACTGAATACACCTCCTATTAAACACACTCATCCACAGACAGGGAGATTTATCTGCATGCATATAAAATTTTATCAATCTTGAAGCATTTTACAGTCAATCTCAGAACATGTCACATGAAAAATTAAGAAATATTGTATTTTCTCTGCAAAGCAAAGTAGCAGCTCCCTGTGCTAGCCTGGCCAAGCATAATGGCATGGATTTGCAGACCAGAAGGATGACATCCTCACCTTCTGCCAGAACAGAGATTGCCAGAAACTAAGCAGGCACTCAGGGACTGCAAAGTTTCCCAATTCAAGAAGTATCCAGAGGGAAGCTGAGTAAAGTCCAGGCTATTACCTCCGATCAGTTCCCGTTTTCCTCAAGGAGAACTGGGATTTTTTTATGGGGAGGAGAAGGGGAATTGTTAAATCTCATGTAAAAATTACAATTTCAAAGCCAATAAAAGCACAGCCACGGAGACCTGGCCAGTCTCTGTGCAGCTGAGGAAATTCTCTGACACAGCAATCAATATGACAGCCCCTTCAGAGAACAAGAGTATCTGCTCTCAGTTTTTAAAATATGAAAATATAAACTGTAGCGGGTGTAATTTAAATTTATTTCTATATATAAGTTTAATTATTGTAATAGCAACAATGATAATAGCAACAAGTACAAGAATATTACTAACAATAAATAATACCGCTAATCACAGTGAACAGTGATCACATCAGTGATATTTTAGACACAGAGAGAAAGCGTGACATATGAACCTTTCCACACAGGAACACCGAGCAAGGAAGATTTGCCTTGCACAATGCAGTCATCAAACAGGGGCCTCTTTACTTCAGAAAACTATGATAAAAGCACTCGCTCTACCTGGGGCAAGGTTGCAGCAGCTCTTTTCCTCCCACGCTGCACGCTTCCCTCTCTTCCAGCTCTGGGCATTGCTTCCCGGTGCCCACCGCCACGCTCCGCACGCTGCGGCGCCGGCTCCGAAAGCCTGGGGTGAGATCTCCCCAGCCGCAGGTCCGCGAGCAGGAGCTCCACGTGGACCACTCGGATGTTTCACAGTCTTTAGCGATGACACAGGACTTGGACGTCAAAGGGACAGGATCTTGCAGGCAGAGGCTGCAATGAGAACACAGTAAATCAGTGAGGAGGTCTTGCTGAATTTTTTTTTCCAAACCAAACTCCCAAATATTTCAGCCTAAGTCAGGGTCTGGCCTTGAACTAGAAGATACCCACGGTCATTTGGGGTAAATCAGAATACCTGCATCAACAGCAATACAATGAAAATAAGAGGAGCTGTAATGCAGTGGACATAACAGGGAGTTCTGGGTGCAATCTTGCATGCCAAAGAGTTTGCAAATAATATATCTAATTTATTTCAATGTTAGAACTTATTTCAAGTTAGAACAGACGCGAAAGGCACTATATTCACTCCTGTGCAGTTAGAATATCAGTTTATCCAGGATGGAAAATAAAAGACAAGCCCAAGAGAAATACCGCCACTTGTAACCGTTCCCATCACCCCGCGCACAGATCTAGCTGTCCACCGTCTGTCCACCCATCCAGGTGTCAGCATGTCCTGCTGAGCCACTCTAGTGGCTAGTCACATACTAGTAAGAAATGTGTTGGTTCTGTGAGGCTGTTATCAAACAAATGCTGTCAAACATGGTCAGAGGGTTTCCAAACCTGACAAACCACCAGAGACCCAGCAACGCTGCAACTCTGTATTTTGGGACTCAGTTACTCCTGCTGACATTAGGACATCATCTTCACTCATTCTGTAACACACCAAGACACCACACAAGGTCCAATACAATAGAGAAATCAAATTTCAAGAGCTGCCAACTGTTGAGGTTTGGTATCAAGATATCACGTCCCAGAACAAAATTTTGAAGAGTTCCAGTGTTACAATAGCTTCTCACAATGTAGAAAACTATGGCAAATGTAGCAAACACTTCTGGGAGAAGACAAA